GCTGAGACGCAACGCAATCTAATCAATCATCCCACAGCCCGATCAATTTGTCCGCCCCTCACTTCCCAGTAGGGAAACTAAGGCACTGCTGCCAGCCTGTGAGATCGTGATGGAGCCAGGAATGAGCCACGCTTGCCAGGCCCAGCCTGGTTGTCCCAGATTTGGCCGCCAGCAGGATGTGAGAAGAGAGCAATGGGGACCCTGGGGCCATATGCTGCTCTCCAAAAAAAACCCAAATCCAGGTGGATTTTACCCTGGCACCATGAGTCATTGGTGGCAGCGACTTTCTCCGTATTGCAAGTTTTACCTTGATTTCACCTTCAGATTTAGCTTTTGTTCAATGCGAGGTATTTGCCACGGGTATATTTAGCTGCTGCTGCTCACAACTGGCCCATGCTGCTTCTTGGCATTCAGGCAGGTGCTGTTTAATTAGGACAGCACCTCGTTACCAGTTTGTGCTCTCATTCAGCCAAGATTAGTGGGTGGAAAGATGAAAAGGGGGATATGCCACCAGCGGGTATAAATAGATTGATCTGGTTATTATTATTTATTGCTTGGGAGCGCGCTCATCCCCAGCCGCATGCGGTACCAGCCAAGGACGGGCAGGCCAAGGGAAGATCAGAAGATGTCCCCTGCTTTAGCTTTCTGTGTGTCGCCCAGCCTGCCTGGGCTGCCACGGTGGTCATTCCCGGGGACAGTGGTGTGATGGCATCTCTCCCTCGCTCTCCGCAGGTGCTGAAGGGCTTCCCCGACTGCTTGCAGGCAGACATCTGCCTCCACCTCAACCGCACGCTGCTCCAGAACTGCAAGGCTTTCCGAGGAGCCAGCAAAGGCTGCCTGCGCGCCCTGGCCATGAAGTTCAAGACAACCCACGCTCCGCCTGGAGACACCCTGGTGCACTACGGAGATGTCCTCACCACACTCTACTTCATCTCCCGGGGTTCCATCGAGATCCTCCGGGAAGACATTGTGGTGGCCATCTTAGGTGGAAAAGTCCTTCCTTCTGGGAGGGCGAGGGGCAATGGGCAAGGGGCAAAGGGTAATGGGTGAAGGGCGATGGGCAATGGCGAAAGGGTGATAGGTGAGGGATGATGGGTGATGAGCTGTGCACAAAGGGTGGCAGGTGAGGGGCGAATGACTTCTCTATGTCCTGGAGAAGGGAAGGCTGTTCCTCAACATCTGGCTGGTGACCACACTGGTGGACAGGGGATGCCGGGGAGAGGCCACAAAGGAGTGAGGAGAGCAGGAGCAGGGCACAGCTCACCAGTCCCCAACCGTCACTGATGACCCACTGCCCTGGCTCGGCCTCCCCATCAGTGATGGCTTTCATGGTGTGATTCCCAGCATCCACAATCAGGGTCAGGGTTGCTGGGCATCCCCATGTCCATGAGCTGCAAAGTGAGGTCTGCTGGACCAGTACATGTGGAACTGGAATGGGTGCCCGCCTCCCCCTAATGAGCTGTCTGTTGGCACAGGGAAGAATGACATCTTTGGAGAGCCCATCAGCCTCTACGCCCGCCCAGGGAAGTCCAACGCTGACGTGAGGGCCCTGACCTACTGCGACTTGCACAAGATCCAGCGGGAGGACCTGCTGGAGGTCTTGGACATGTACCCAGCCTTCTCTGACAACTTCTGGAGCAACTTAGAGATCACCTTCAACCTGCGAGATGTGAGTGCCAGGGCTGTCCCAGGGAGGGATGTGGTTGATGCCTTAAATTTGGCAAGTGGAAGGGCTGAAGTGAGGATGTCAGCCTGTGCTCCTCACTCAATTTGGTGGTGGATTGGCCCCCAGCCACATTTCCCAAGGCATGCTCCATGGGGTTACAGTGTCCCCCATAGCCCAGCACAAACATGCATACTGCACATTCCTGAGCTCTTTGGAAAAGTTGGCCCCACAAGCCATGTAGGTAGTACCCTGCTCTGCAGCACCTGTAAATCTTCTCCAGGACTGCTCCAGCCTGGACAAGTGGGTCACACACATGTTTTGAGGCTGCTGAAGTAAGAAATATTCTCATGCTTCATTCAGCTGGGTACCAGCTCCCTCTGAAAATTCCTTTTTAAACAATCAGATTTGCAACCCATGAAAGGCTTAGAGCATTTTTGTGGTTGCTGTTTGACTCTTAAACTTTATGACTGGACTTTGTCCTTTCCTGATATTTTTTTCAGAGACACTTGCCTGGTAAGTGTGATGGAAATGATGCATGCCAGTCACCATAACAGGGTTTGACTCTAGGTTTCCACATGAGCTGAAAGAGAGATTCCTTCATGAAAGTATTTTTTATTAATAGCGCTACAGCTCGAGCTGGGGGCCTCCAAAGAGGGACCCCGAACAAAGAAATCCCTGGGCAATTATACCCTTACACTCTAAGTTCCCCACCCCTCACACGATAGTTCGGACCAATAGTAATATTAAGGTCTGAGGTCTTCTTGCTTTTTTATTGGTTTGATGTTTGCTGTTTCGTTACTAAGTGGTTGCTAAGTGGTCATCTTCTTATACAATATCACATCCTCTTAGGTCGGTTTCTATAGTTAGCTCTTCGGCATGTTGTAATGCAGTTGTTACAGTTCATATGCCACGATCTATAGGCTTTGTCTACTCTAGCTATTAATGTTTAAACTGCTAGCTTTAAATTACAACTAACTTTCTCTACAACATAAGATAGAAAAGAAAGTCAAATTCCCTCCATGTCCTGTCTCACCCCAGGATGTCCTGCCCCACCTCAGGGTGCTCCTTCCTTCCCCACGGCCCTGACACCCTCACCTCAGGCTCACCTCTAGGATCCCTTGAGCTATGCCACCAGCCCAGGAGTCACTGGGTGGGACAGGGCAGTGAGGGAGAGCCAGAGGTGGCTGGAGACCAGCCCTAGGAGGATGCTGAATGGGCCGTCGTCCCCATGGCACCCAGGGCCAAGGCACCCATGGATGGGAGATGGCATCCATGGGTGGGACGTGGCACCCTTGCCACGGTGACCAGCCCCTCTCATTCCTCAGGCAGACAGCGTTCCCCGCTCACCGCTCAGCGAGGAGTATGACTGCACCTACCGGCGGGCGCGCCGACGCAAGCACTCCCTTTGCCAGCCCAACAAGCCTGGTGAGTCCCACAGTGTCAGCAGAGCCTGGCTTGCAGGGCTGGGGAGCGGGATCAGCATTTAATTACTGTCCCAAAGCGGAGGCAGCTGTTGGTGCCTCCGTCCCTGCAGACCAGCCTGCATATCCCCATCCTGGGGGCACCCGCAGCGCCTTCCCTCCCTCTTCTTAGGATGCCCCAGCCCTACAGGCACCATAGAGGGGGTGGGGGCTGATTTTGCTATGTGTGGTACTCCCCAAATTAACCTGTTGTGCTGCCCCACAGACCCAGACACAGGCATCTCTGATGCAGAGCAGTATCACACCTACTCAGAGCTCACCAACCCGCAGGACCTGCTGAGTAAGGACCAGTGGGATGACCTGGGCAGCAGCACCACTCCCTGCTCCCAAACCAGTGATGATGAGGTCAAGATTGGCAGTCCTACAAAAGCTGAGCCCTTCCCCACATCCAGAAAGGATGACTTTGCTCTGCCCACGCTCAGCCTCGTCACCACCAGCGCCGGCGGCACCGAGGTTGGCAAGCAGGCAGCGGAGAGCAGCCAGTCCTACACAGGTACCCAGAGCTGCAGCCAAAGCTGGCAGGAGGGTGGTGAGAGATGCTCGGGCACAGTGGCCTTGTCTTGGGGCATAGCCAAGCACGCCACACAGATTTGAGGGGAGCCATGCTTGTGGCCAAGAGTCTTTGCTGCCTTTTGTCCCCAGTAGCATCTGCTCTGTCCCTCCTGTGCCCTGCAGTTTCTCCTAGTACCCAGGGACCCCTGTGGGGCTGCCCCAAGGGGACAAATGCTATGTGCCTTCCACAGGCATGTCGGGTGCCAGTGTGATGGACTGTCCATGAGCACCCTGGGTGCCAGGGTGATGGATCCCCATAAGCACCTCAGGTGCTAGGGTGATAGACTCTCCCTGAGCACCGTGTACGTCAGGGTGATTGGCTCTCTATGAATGTGTTGGATGATGGACTCTGGAGCACCTCCATGCCAGTGGGGCTGGGGGATGCAAGACAGAAGTGCTGAGATGTCTCCTCTCCTTCCAGCCACCCCCCTGGACATCCCCAACATGTTCACCTTCTGGGAGGACCAAAGGCCAAACCACCACCCGGAGCCTCTGCAACACATCTCCTTGGTACACAGCTCGCGGGACATCCCCCTGCACAGCGACTACAGACCAGGGCAGATTGAGTCCAGGCTGGAGCTCCTGCAGGCCCAGCTCAGCAGGTGGGCAGGTCCCCGGGGCACAGGGGTGGAGAGCACCTGGGGGGCTCTGAGCCATCACCTTCTCCTGCTCTCTAGGGGTGGCTGCAGTGGGCTCTGTGTGCAGCAGATGCCACCTCCTGACCCCTGGAACACTGCATTCCTTGGGGAGGTAGTGGGAGCACTTTGCAAATGCAGCAGCTTCTCAAACTGGAAGTCCTGGCCCTGGCTGCAGCCCAGCACCTCGCTGGCCGCTGTCCCACCACCCCTGGGATCTGCCACTCTGCCACTGCCCCCAAACTCAGTGCGATCGCAGACATGAAACCACCCACGGGCTCACAACCTGAGCCTTTTGCAGGCCTCCTCTTCCCGTTGCAAAGAGCTGCAAACATCCTGTAGCTCAAGCAAATGAGCCTCGTGCACATCATTGCCCTCTAAATAAAAAAGACATGATTTTTGAATGGGAAGGAAGAGCCCACAGCGGGGACGCAGGTTTAAAGGCCCCAGGCAGCACCCACACGAGCGGCTGGCTCTCTCGCCCACGGCTGCTGGCCATGCTAAGCTCACTCCACCACAGTGCCCACACATGTATTTCAGTGTCTCGCCAACGTGCCACCCCGGCAGCAGGGGCCAGATCTCCTACCCACTCTGTAAGTGCTGCCAGGACCACTGCCTGCGAGGGGGGGCTGCACCCACTCCTGCCAGAGCTGCTCGTTTCAGTCAAGGAGAAGGCAAAAGGAAGGGACTTGTTCTACTTTGCCATTTGCTTCTGTTCCTCAGTTAAAAATGGTTGGCACCAACCTGCCTTGCTCCCATCTGTCAGCACAGGCAGCTGGCCTGGAGAATTGATCCAGATTAAAACTAACCATTGCAATTTTTTTCCCCCCTCCGGGGTAGTTTTAGCTTTCTTCAGTTCCCCACTCCAGATCCCAGTTTGGCTCCACAAAAAACTGGGCAGGGGATGATTGAGTGTGGCAGGAGAGAGATGGCAGGATTGATCTCTCTGTGGCAGTGCTGGTTTGAAGCTCTCTAAAAACCTCACCAAGCAGCACCAGGCAAAGCATCATCGCCCTCAGGCAGCTGAATCGGCACCTCCTCCCCAGTGCCTCCCCTGTCTGGCTCTGGTGGGATGCAGCGGGATGCACTGCGCTAACGCCAGGCTGCTCTGTCCCCAGGCTGGAGTCCAGGATGTCGTCAGACATTAATATAATCCTCCAGCTCCTGCAGCGCCAGCTGTCCCAAGTGCCGCCCGCTTACAGCCCCATCTCACCGTCCTCCCACAACCTGGCCATGTACAGCATCCTCCCACGGAGCCTGGAGCCGCTCGCCCCCTGCGCACCCCTGGAGAACGAGGAGCCGACGACCCCAGAGCAGGTAAGGTCACTCCTCCCGGCTCCGCACCGGCCGAGCTTCCTTCTGCCCCGAGCAGACGTGTCCTGGAGGGCAAGTGGCTCCCTCCAGCCTCCCTGCAGGCAAAGCACAGCCAAGCGCTCATGGGTCCAGGCAAAGCCCAGGGGTCTTGAAATGGGAGTAGATCTACTTAGAGATGCTTCTGCCCAGTGCATCGCTGATTTTGGAGCACAGCCTGCCATCTCCAGCACTATCAAGTTGCCCCATCAGTAGAGGGGGGAGTGGGTTCCTCTGCTCTGAGGCTTCCTCAGGCAAAAAGTAATATTTTGGGGCTTGGGGCCTGATGGGGTGAGTGAAGAGCGTGGCTACTTTGTTTTGCTTTTGCTATAACCCACCCGGTTCCTCCTTTCCCACCAGAGGCCAAGCTACACGGAGGTAGAAAAGTTCCACATGAAATCCAGGGACTCCTTGTCAAGCGGGATGCACCTCACTGTGGCATCTGACGAAACCATGGCGGTCTACTCTGAGCAGGAGCACCATTCCCCACCTCTCCTGAATCCAGAGCCTCCCCACCAAAGGGCACCAAATACCCAGGGACTCTTCCGGGGCTCTCGTTTCCCTTCCCTCCCTGAGCACTTGGAGGCATCTCCCGAGCACCAGGACATTCAGAGACACCTCTCCGACCCAGTGCTTCCTGGAAGTTAGAGATGTGGGGGGCTGTGAAGCAAGTCAAGAGGAACCTCAACTGCGAGCTCGGTCAGTTGATGTTGATTTTGACTGCAAGGGTAAGACAGAGGACAATGCCATTGGCTCAGGGGTATAATTTGTAGCTGTCTTCTGCCACCGTGAAAGGAAGTGTAGAGTGGCTGGCTTCCAAGGTCAAAGTTTTCCAGCGGTTCCCATAGAGTAGATTTCATTTGCACATTATAGTGAACCCAGAGCAGTTCTTTTATGGCCTCCAACAAGCTGGCTAGGCCAAACGGTACCCACCGCCTCTTCCTTGCCGAGGCTTCCTCTCGAGAACGGCGCAAGCCAAGTGAGCCACAGCAACCGGGAGAGCAAATCCACAGCTCTTAGCTGCGAGGCCACTTTGCTGTCAGCTCTTTGGAGCAGGGACCATTGCGTTGGTACTGGGCTTAGCCCAGCGGAGCCTGTGGGCATTACAGAAAGGGAGGAGGAGGAGATCTCCACAGTGTGGTACTGGGGGGAGCTGCAGGCGGGAAGCCCAGGACAAGGACAGAGGACAGAAGCTATCCTTGTCCTACTTTGCCACTAAGGCAGAAACTAAGGGCCAACAGCCCCTGCCACTTCAGCATGCTTCAGCATGAGTCCTAGGGCACCGACTTCTCCAGCAAGGCTAATTGTGCCTTGCAAACCCCAACACGCGTCCCACAACTCCCCAGAGAAACCCAACCGGTCACTGGCCTGGGCATAAAGCACAAAACTCAAAAGCACAATCCTGCAAAGCCGAAAAGCCCCAGACACTCATCTCCAGCCCTTCCTCCCAGCTTCTCTTTTTTGATAAAGGTTTGATAGATGCTTCCTCCTCCCCAGCCCTTTCCCCGGCAGACTCCTGCAGCAATCCCCCTTAGGAGAAGCCCACGTAGCACTGCCGCCTTGCCGTTCGGTTAGATGCTGTGACAGTCCTAGGCCACCTGCTCAAGTAATGTATCGAGCTCCCTTTGAGAGTAGTAAAACTGTGAGCATCTCTTTCTCTGGAGTTTTAGTGTACACTTTGCTAATAAAGATGTTTTTGGCACCTAACGTGGATTACGGCTGTGTTTGTTGGGACCATCCGTGAATTCATCCCTGGCAGTACAAAGCACAGGTGCTAACCTGCAAAGACCCCTGCAGAGGCTGTGGTCAAACCCCGGTTGCTTCATCCAGGGAGCATGGGGCTAACGGAGCCCACGTGCAGGTCCTCCAGGTCAAAGATGAGGCCAGAGGGGGATGTGCTGAGCAATTCCTTCCCAATAGGATGCAGCTCAGGCTCAGTAGCAATTTGCAAAAGCTCTTCTACAAGACCAACCTACTGCAGTTCTCCTGTGTATCATAAAAGACTTTGCAAACGCACCTCAAGCAAAGATTACACCGAGAGTCCTTGCAGCAAGTGGGACTTCAGATGAGCACAGCGATACCTAAAGCCCATCCTACATCCCTTGCTGAAGGGGACACGGCCCCTGTCCAAATGGGCCTGCTCCTTCAGGAGGGCTGGACCCAGGATCACCTGTGACGGACCCCGTATGGCCCCGAGAGGTGAGGACAGAGCCCTTGCCCTCAGCAGGGGGTTGAACCTGCCTCTACCCCCCGGGTCTCATTCCACGGGGCAGCACACAACCCAGCCGCCAGCCCCTGCCCAGGCCCCCAGCAGGCACCATCCCACACAGGGACTGTTTATACCCGGGGCCTGCTCAGGTTTCTGCTGGCAGAGCCAGGATGCCTCCTCCCTGTCCCATGCCTCGGCCTAGAGAGCGAGGCGGCCTCCAGGCCTTCCCTGGGGCACCCGCCTGGCGCTGCCGTGAGGAG